TGCTATAAACTGGTAACGTAAAATTTAGATATGACAACGCGCTTTACTCTCAATCATTATTGGTTTTACTATATTGGGTTCAATGGGTTAAAAAATCTTGGAAAAACTTGTTTCATGAACAGTGTAATCCATTGTTTATCAAAAACACGGGATGGTTGCTGGAATACTTAAAAAATGATACATACTTACATGAAAGATATCAATACTAGTATTTCTAGTATGAAAGGTGTTTTAATCAAAGCGTTCGCAAAAGTTATCAAGGAATTGTGGTCAGAAGATTTATCTGATAAGAGTAATTGACACAGTCTACTTCAAAAGTCAGATTCAAAGATTTGCCCCTCGATTCATGGGTTCTGCCCATTAAGACGCCCACAAATTCCTTCGATATCTATTAGAAGGTTTACATGAGGACCTCAATAGAATTACTGAGAAACCTGAACCGATCTTAACGGAGATTGACGAAAAATTGAGCGACAGCAGAGAAGCACAAGAGTCCTGACTGAGATATTTTAATATGAACAACTCTAAGATTGTAGACTATTTTGTTGGTCAATTAAAATCCACTATGAAGTGCACACACTGTGGACACTCATCAGTAATTTTCGATCCTTTCTGGGATTTGTCTCTTCCCATACCACAAAGAACTGGTCAATTGAGTTTGTCACATTGCTTGGATTCCTTCACAAGAGAAGAAATTCTAGATGGAGACGAAAAACCAATGTGTTCGTGGTGCCAGCAAAGAAGAAAATGTACAAAGTCCTTGTCAATTTATAAGTTTCCCCGTATTTTAGTAATTCATTTGAAAAGATTATCTCCAACGGAAAGATTCAGATTGACTTTCCTTTAGATGAATTAGATATGAGATGGATGATTCCACTTTTGTTTTCAATTTGTGAAAACATAAAATCAGCAATAAGTAATTATTTGTTGAACGTAGCACGCATCTTACATTTTTTCATTTTGAAATATTTAATTTCATATTTGACTTACTGTAGCAGTCCTTTTCTTCGAACAAAAATCTCTTTATGTATGATACCTACCATAGGGGAAAGCCACCACTGATCGTTCGGCAATTTTCGGCAATTGTCTGGCAGATAACTATATTGGTTAAATCACAGTCACAGACCATGGTCTGTGAGTCTGTGGGTTAAATGAAATGTCAAAATTTTTGACAAATGTCGTGATTTTAAAATTTACAGAATGTTATTATTGTAAAGTGTTATAGGTTTTTTGGAGTATTGAGATATTTCAAGCACAGAAGTTGTGAAACAGAAAACGAAGTACCGGATTTTATTTGTTGAACGGTAATTTAGGGTTATGTCACAGAAGAGTGAATTTTATCATGTTATGTCATAACCCAACTTCCATAAGTATGGTTTGCGAGAATGAAGCAGTAGCTGTTTTATATGGGTCTCAAACTGGTAATGCCCAAGATTTAGCAGAGAGGATTTGGAGAGAATCTAAACGTTTTTACTTTAAGACTACAGTGCAGGCTCTAGATGAATACAATGTACTGGAATTGATAAACGAGAAGTGTGTCATATTTGTATGTTCCACAACAGGGCAAGGTGAAGAGCCAGATAATATGAAATCATTTTGGAAGTTTCTCTTACGAAAAAATTTACCACCCAATATCTTAGATAACGTGAAGTGAGTTTAAAATTCTAACTCGAGACCATTCTCCGTGATGATATTGTTTTAGGTTTGCAGTGTTTGGACTTGGAGACTCCAGCTATGCAAAATTCAATTTTGTAGCTAAACGACTTTATAAAAGATTATTGCAATTAGGAGCCAAACCAATTTTGCCTCTGGGTTTGGGGGATGATCAGCATGACTTGGGGTACGATGGGGCTGCTGATCCCTGGATGGAGAATCTATGGGAAAACCTGTTACTTTCATATCCACTGCCACCCAGGATTGAACCGCTGCCAAGAAATTCTACAATAATGCCCAGGTAAGCTGGAATTATTGTCAAATTAGTCAAAAAAGTTTTTTGATTGTATGATATCACATTTTCAAGTAAATTTAGGTGCTAATGTAGATTCGTCTTATGATCTACCAAGGTTCAAAAATGCCAAAAAAAGCACGCCAACTTCGATCAAATGTCGGGGTTTTGCTCACTGGTTTCTTCGATTACCGTGGTGTACTGCATCAGAAGTTCTTGTCATATGGTCGTACCGTCAATAAGGAGTATTATCTTGAAGTTATGTGCCGCTTGCGAGAAACAATGCGAACAAATCGTCTGGTATTGTGAAAAAACAACTCATGGCTTTTGCATCACGATAATGCACCTGCTTACCCATCATTACTTGTTTGTAATCATGCCTCAGGCACCGTATTCACCAGATTTGATTCCCTTTGATGTTTCCAGGTTTCCAATATAAATATTGAAATAACCGTAAGGATTCTATGTTCTTTACATAAGTACCTGATAGCCCTTTTCTGCAAGACAAAAACCGACTGCTTAAGTTTTTTACTGCAAACACCCCAAAAGGGTATACCATACCTCAGATGAGAGTCTATTAAGGCATGCTTGCTTTCGCTGCAACAAACCCCAGTTCCTTTGAGGTGTTTCTCAGTGCGAAACATCCTGATGCCAATTTGTTGTTGAGTGCAATATGCTGAGAGAATTTTAAATTTTCATCTAAATAAATTCCCAAAAATTTCTAAGTGGAGTTATTTTTTATTGTGTTATTGTCTAGGGGGATATCAGGTATATTACACTTGAATCTTAATATATTTGTTTTGCTGGTATTCAATGATAGAAGATTCGAGTCAAACCAATTCTTAACTTTTTTCATGCTTTGGCACATTTTGTTATGCAATCTGTTTATGCCCTTGTCATGCCACACTAATATGGTGTCGTCAGCAAATAAGGTAAAGCTTCCTATAATCGATATGTTGGTCAAATCGTTAATGTATAACAGAAACAGTATAGGACCTAACACAGAGCTTTGAGGTACTCCACAATTTATCTCTCCCACGTCCGAGTTAGATGACGTTCTTACAAATTTTTTTCTGTCAGAAAGGTATGAACTAATCCAAATATGACTGTGGTCCTTAAAACCATAACTTATGAGTTTCCGAAGCAATATGCTGTGATTGACACAGCCAGGGGAGTAGTTGTTTTCCGATAGGCGTCAGTCCATTCAACCTACTGTGTAGGTATATCTGAGATTGACTTGATCGTTTAAAGTTCATTTCTTTAGATTTGAACACATTTATGATTCTCAAAATTTATGTTCAGTGGTATGATTTATAATTATGCCTCGTCTAATATTAGTTTTGGATGGACAAGGTTATATACGAGTATACCATACTCGTTGGTCAAAAAACTTCGTGCAGATGTCTGAATTGAGAAGCATCCTAGATTTACTGGTATTGTTTTGTAATACCATGTTTTACTTCATCAACAATTGTTGGTTCAGGCACTTGTTGTTTTTGGGAAATTTTAAAATAGTAGTTTTGCTGCACCTTTGGTCACTGTATATTTTAATGTTTGGTATATTTATATGGTGTTTGATTTTCAAAACATGTTTGGCATCTTGTAAAGACTTGAGACATCACCTTCACTGGCTTGGTTTTATTAGGTATACACATTCCAAATCGTAATAATTATAAATCTTGTGACAGACGGCGCAAGTATGTAAAATTCCTCTCAAACAACATAATAAAGTTTAAGGTCTTAAATTCTATAGTAATACTGAGATGCAGTAAGTCTCCAACAGATGGCGGACAGTTGTAAAATTTGTTTCGAAGTAAAGAGAAAATTTGCAGTAATAATTTTAAAAAACAATTTAGTCTTGATGTTTTGAATTGAAGTTTAATTCCAAATATTAATGGACTAAAAATATTTTTCAAATCAATCTTTTGATTTGATATGAAATAATAGAATTAGATTTTAAAATGTATCTCCCGTTTCGTTCAAAATTTTTTCTGTACTAAATCACGGGTAATTAAAAATATTTAAATATTTCATCTCTAGTACAAAATTTCGCTAACACTTATAATGTCTTAAAATATGTTTTTTATTTTGATTTATTTTTGAACAACCTATCAACGAGGTCTTGTAGCGCCATCTGCCCGCGAATAGATCAGGTAATAATTGATACTTACGTACAACGCTATCTGCCTGCAAATAGATCAAGCAATAATACCGATAATTCTGTCGATACAGATCCCGAGCTAGAGAGTTACAAGCAAACAATCATACATACAAACATACATACATATATACAGGTGAAGCTAATATAAAGCGTAAAAAAATTGCATGAATTGTTGCAATACATTCGTTCGTAGGTATTCATTACCCTTAGAGGACAGAAACAATGTAAAGTCGTCTGCATACGCAGTATAATCAGCAGTACTAATCATCGCATCATGATGATTCACATACAAAGTTAATAGAATTGGACCCAAGATCGATCCCTGTGGAACTCCCATTTCGATTTCCTTACTATTCGAGCGTTTGCTTTTAATTTAGCTATTATGCTGAAACTTGAGTGTTTTCTCTTTGTTAAAAAGGATGAAATCCAGTTTAATGGTATACCTCTTACTCCATAACTCTCCAATATCTTCATCAATTGCTGATGGATCACACAATTGAAGGAGCTATTCAAGTCGCAGAATATTGTAACATGGCATTCATCCGCATTGATAAACTGTGCCGTGGATGTAGTCATGTTACGTCGAAAAACGTGTTGATTATTACTAATGACTTTGTATTTTCCCAAAACTGATGAGAGTATCTAAGAATGTATATTTTAAAACTTTTGCGAGACTATATGGCACAGTTACTGGGCGATAATTCTATAACAGAGTACGATCTTTTTTCTTGAAGAGAGGTACAACTTTTACTGTTTTGATGCTTTGTGTTATCTGTGAGAATGTGATTCTACTTTCATCTCTTTCAGATGGGACGTCATCACCTCTTTTGGCAGTAATCGTAGACCCAATCAGCAGTCAATATATTATTCCACAAGAAAATCTACAGATTTCGTATCAGTTGTTTTGGAAAATAGGAGGTTGACGTCTCATGATCATTTTCAAGTAATATACTTTTTCAAACTACTCAAATTGTGTTTCATATCATATCTGTATATTTATAAGTGTTCAGGTTTTTCAGTTGAAACTGTAGATACGTTTTTCTCAAGAAATTTTGTGCACATAGATTTTCATACTTGTTTTTTGTTTCTGCCATTTCGACAATAAAGTGATTTTGATTAGATAAGGGTAGTGTTGCCCAAAAGTTGAAAGAGCTTCCTTTATATAGTACGAGTAAATACTGAAAGATGTACGAGAGTTGTTTGAAGAGTTTCCGACTTAACAAAGATACAAGACATTTTTTTTAGGTAAAAAAAAAATTTTCAACATAGTCTCTGCAAAATAATAGTTCACAAAGGTGATTGCCTCTTTATTTGACGAAAATATCTGTCCTCCGAGGGCAATTTCTAGATGACGGAACAAAAAGATGTCGCTTGGGAGTAGATCTGGCGAGTAAGGCGGATGGCCAAGCAGTTCAAAACGTAATTCAGAGATTTTCGCCAAGGCAACCGTTGAGTTGTGAGACGGTGCCTTGTCTTGGCGAAACAGGATTTTCTTTTTCTGCAAATGTGGCGGGTTTTTCGCACGTTCTGCCTTTAGATTGTCGAGTAATAATAAGTAGTATGCTCCTGTATTTTTTTCTTTTTTGAAGATAATCGATTGAAATAACTTCATGACTATCCCAAAAAACAGTCGCCAGCCGGAAAAACAGTTTTTCCTTCTTTTGGAGCCGGTTTCTCGTTTGCAGTAATTAATCAGCGTCTAAACTCGGACTCATTGCGCATCAACTGCGCTAACAGAACGTTGAAAATGTTCATTTGAACTCGTTTTTGGTCCAACGTGAGCAAACGCGGCACCCAACGCGCGGACAGGTTGCTCATGCCTAAATGTTGATTCATCACTTGATAAACAAGTTCTTTTGACACGTTCATAACCTCTGCTATTTCTCTCACTTTAATACGGTGGTCACAGAATTCAACTTATCTTTGATTCGCGTAGGCATAGTGCCTTTCAAAAACAAATATTCAATGACAGCTCGATACTCGACTTTGTCCATTTTCATAAAAACACTCATCAACTCACTCAAAGGAGTGTTACTTAACCGCGCGTCCAAAATGGCTGAAAATTTGGTGAGTAACTGTCAACAGATGAACCACGAAATCAATTTCAGTTTGAAGAGAAGATACATCAATAGTTATGGTAAATCTGTTGTCACAATTCATGACTTTTGAAGTTTCAGAAGTATAACTCGTGGTTTTCCGTTCACATTTACTTTTCCTATGAGGTGACAAAGTTCTAAGTCTTCTCATGACACCCATTCCATCAGTCTCGTTCCCTGTACTAGTTTGTACAGGTTCCGTGTTGGATGTTCGTCTCATATTCTTCTGGGCGTAGTTTTGTTTGTCCATATATAGCCTGCCTCCTGTGATTCAGTGCCTCACATTGGCATAAGATGTGTAGAGCTGTTTCTATCCCTTCGTTGCATAATCTGCAGGTAAGGTCTCCTTTGTACAGCCCCATTTTATTCAGGTGTCCTCTAAACGGACAATGACCGGTTAGTAACCCTGTAATTATTCTGAGCCGATCCCTACTGTATTGAAGTAGTTCTTCGGTTCTTTTCTCGGATGGCCCTAATGAAGGTTCTATTGTGTTTGTTGCCAGGTACTTTTGTCCAGTACTCTGTGTGCTTATTAATACTAAAAGTTGAAAGTTTAGTTACTTCTTTTCTGGTATTTTCTTTGTTTTTTTTTCTGGAATGTTGAATATTCTTAGGTTGTTTTTTTTAACTTTCTTGTTCCATATAATGAAATTTTCCTAAGAAAATGCTTGATTTCCTATCGTACTCATGTTTTCTTTGAATGAGTTCATTCCTCATCTACTCCATTTTTTGTTCCATCTGCGCTTGTTTCTCATCAACTGTTTTTGTTACTGCTAATGTTTTTATCAATACCTTATTGTTAAGACATTGCCTGAATGCTTCATTCACGGCATTTTGGATTTCATCTCTTATTTCTCTCATGATCCATAATTCAA